AGAAGAAACAGAACAAACGAAGAGTTAGCTTATGTCAAACTTACTTTACATAACTTTTTCTTCACTACTAACCCTTCGATAGGTTCTTCACTAAATTGATCCTCGGTAGATACAAATTAGCTGATTTAGAAAAAAGGAAGTTTCAGGTACATGCGCGTACGTAAACACCTATGTAAACATTTCCCTACACGTACAAACTATTCGTGCGTAAATCTGCGCATTACACACATTTTCGCCCCATTCAAGAAAAAAAAGTAAATAAATGGAAATGAGGAAATACACATTGAATGCAAGTGACACACACGTATAATTTTCTTCATCTTTATATAATAATTTAATCAACCAAAGAGTCTGAAGGAAAATTATCGCTCTTTTATTTTTCTGCTATGTAGCACTTATTAAGTCAATTTGATTTTGAACGGCATCCAAAAAATTATGCAAAAGTTAAGTGAATTTGAGTACCCAAATGATGAAATTATCAAATACTTATAATCGAAATTAAGGACTTGAACAAAATTAGTGCACTAAAATTTGACGATATCATGTCTATAACACTCTTTAGCAAATGGAGATTTTCTACCTAACAGATGGGACGTAACCATATTCTTCGCTACAACAAGATATCGCGACTCGGGCTTTATTGTTATTCATTTTTACTCAGTTAATTCGTTCGTCGTGGTCTCTTTCTTTGTCTTGCTTTTAATTTTTTGTTTGCAATGTTTTATAATGTGAAGACGATGAGAAGTTATGACTTATTGTGCTGAACTAGTTGAGGTGTCAGAAGGGAACAATCCGGAATCGGTTATTTCTTTATTTGAGCTACACTTAACACTGTTGTTTTCAGGAAGATGGCTTTAGTACCATCGTTGAAGAGAAACTTTAAGTCATCATCATTTGGTCGTCTCAACACATATTTAAGCTCTTTTGATCCATTTATGTGAGTATTTATTTCATCCCCCATTATGAGATCTTAATTTGCTTGATTTACTTCAACAATCTGAATTTCATTTCTTAATTTAACTGATCGAATTTCCACCTAATTTCATCTTGATTCTTTTTAATTAGTTTTATTATTTTTGGCTTTATTTTTGCCGAAAGTTTTTCAACTTACAGGTCACTTTAATTGTTTCAGTTTGACTTCGCTTATTTTAGTTTGCTTTAGTTCACTCTATTACTTTTCATTTGATGAAAGCTTAACTTCTCTTAAGTTCATTCCGGTTTATTTCATTTTATTTCTAATCGGATTTAAGTCGATTCAACTTTCTGTGATCCTCTTTATCTGTTCTTGCTTTAACTGAGTTAATTTAATTCTCATTCAATTCACTTCAGACTGTTGTTTTGTTTTTCTTTAATTTTCATATTCATCGCAGTTCATAGTCCGAAATCGATGTTTCAAGGATTGTTTCAGGAACCCTACCACCTTCACTCAACGACGGGGAGCTGTTCGAGGAAAAGCTAATTTCGTCGTGAATTTCGTCCCGCAGCAGGAAGCTTGGGTAGTTGAGCGCATGGGAAAATTTCATTCTATTTTAGATCCTGTAAGTATTTATTTGAACTTGAATACTCTGTTAAGAACTTTTAATCGAATAATTGGTTATGTAATTATCGTCATAAAAATTATTGGGCTGTGACTTTGGCAATGTAGTCCCGAAATTTTGTTTTGTTCTTTTCTTTTGTCCCGAAATTAATTTAGGCAATAAAATTTTGCAGGGATTCAATATTTTGCTACCATTTTTTGATCGTATCAAGTATGTGCAAGTACTGAAAGAGTTAGCAATTGAAGTACCACAACAAGGTGCCGTGACAAGTGATAATGTACAACTACAGATTGATGGAGTTCTCTATTTGCGAGTAGTGGATCCGTACAAAGTATGTAAAGGAGCTTTGTTTTTCTCTAATTTTCGTAAATCACGAAATGAATTTCGTTCAATGTTTCTCGATTTTACATATTTTCGTGTTCCATATTTTGAAGGCGCAAATAATATGCGATTGATGTTCATCTCAAAGCTTAATTTATGGTCAATGTAAAATTCTGGATTAACTGATTTCGTTCAGGCTTCGTATGGTGTTGAAGATCCAGAATATGCGATTACACAGCTTGCACAAACAACGATGCGTTCGGAAGTAGGCAAAATCAATCTAGATACAGTATTTAAGGAACGTGAACAACTCAATATCAATATTGTCGGTTTGTTTTAATACTGACTAATGGTGCAATTTTTGTGCTACCCATGGTTACATAGTACTGTTTTGAGTGCATTATCAGTTAGTTATTTAGTGAATGTTGTGTTTATCAGGCAATTCATAGCCGGTCAGGCGAAATGAACCAGCCATTTGTTCGGTTTGAAACTTAGGATTTAATTTAAGCTATCTACATTTCGAGCTAAAGAACCTAAAAATGATGCTTCAGGAGCTTCAGGAGTTGTGCTGAAGATTATGCATTCAAAAATTTTCACATTTTACAGAATCAATAAATAAAGCAGCTGAGCCTTGGGGATTACAATGCATGCGATATGAAATTAGTGAGTGTTTCTTTCAGTTGATCCAGACCTAGTTTTGGAGTTTTCTAATGTTGGAATCACTTCAGCATTGGCCATTTCGAGACGGATTTTGTCCAATAAATTCTTGAGTGAAATTTGTTTTGAAAGAGTTAATAAGATGATGAAGTTGTACCAAATTCCAGGGGACATGACGATGCCTATAAAAATCCAGGAAGCAATGCAGGTTCTTTTTTTTTTTTTTGTACAAGAATTTTAAAAAACTAATCTGTCTTTGTTAGGAATATATACTTCGGTGTAATACAACTCCTTTTTTTAAATGTACTCTAATTTTATTTGATCGATACAAGATATATCAACCGTGAACATTAGTGTTCGTTAACGAGTGACCCACTACTGTTGAACTGTATTATGCCGTAGTATGCTTTCGAGGATGTTTGGAAGTTTTCATTGTGTTCTTGTCATAGACAAAGAACACAGCAAGTAGAGAACATTGCAAAAGAACTATTTTTTATGAGAAAAAATAACGTGAAAGTAATAGAAGATTTTGAAGTGTATTTCAGATGCAAGTGGAAGCGGAACGGCGGAAACGGGCTGCGATTCTGGAGTCAGAAGGTAAACGTCAGGCAGCAATTAATATCGCAGAAGGTGAAAAAAGGGCGCGCATTTTAGCATCAGAAGCTTCGATGCAAGAAAAAATTAATGAAGCTAAGGGCAAGGTAGTTGATTTAATGAAACGAAGCTGTATTTCAATTTTCCTATTACTTGTTCAGGTTAAGAGGTTAAATGTGGACAAAAATACTAGCAGTAAAAGTTGTTGATATAGATAAATCATTGAATGTCAGCAGTTTCAAGACAAAACTTTAGATTTTATTTGCAAAATGCATTGCAGATTGAAATTTATTATCACCAAAACTTTCTTCCTTTTCAGTGGAGCTGCTGCAGAAAAGGACATGAGACTGCAATCTGCATCTCAACATGCCATTTTGTAGAGATTTGTAATGAACCTGTTTTCAGGCAGAAGCCATTCAGATAAATGCACAGGCTCAGGCTTTGGGCATTAAACTGGTTTCGGAATCGTTAAACAAAACAGGTGGCTACGATGCGGCGGCTTTGTCAGTGGCTGAGAAATATGTAACAGCTTTTGGACAAATAGCTAAAGATACAAATACGATAATTATACCATCTGATTTAGCTAATGCAAGCGGTATGGTTGCTCAAGCATTAACCGTTTATGGTGAATTAACAAAGAAGAGGGAACCATTCATGTGAGTCATTGGTTTAAAATTTTCAATAACCGATATGAATGTCAAAATGGCATTGTTTGATTTCGGTATTCTCGAAATTTTCACAGTTTTCCCGCAATGCAATTTTGTTTAGGTTTTCATCGAAACAAAAAGCTATTGAAAGAAAGAATGATGGAGAAAAACTTCCCTAGTTTTGGATCATATGACAGTACTTATTTCCATCAGTTATTGGAACTGTTTCCCAGTTTATAACTTCCAGGTTTGCACCACACACTGTCAAACACCCCTCTCGTATTTTCTATATTTATGTTTGAGAATAACCTAATTGAGCAAGCGCATTTCCATTTCATTACTATTTTTTTATTTTATATTGAATTGTCTTGTTCCACAAGTGCATATCATTTCATCAGTGGAGAAATTGTTAGTTTTCAAAAAGCGAGCTTTCTGTATTGAGTGATTTCAAAAACTATGAAAATCATTATCGTCTTAATTTTCTATGATGGAAAGTAGAACGCTGTTCAGGATATATCATTAAGAATGCTTAAGACCGAAAGCACAATTTACCCATTATAGGTAATTTCAGCTTAAATTGTGAGCACTCATTCCTAATTGTCTTAAAATGGTACTCTACCATATTGGACTTTTATAATGGTACTGTTGTCGTCTAGAAATTTTTAAAATAATACATCACATGTTCCCTTGTTTTTGAACGATGAAGTGTTGGAAAAGCAGTTAGCATTAAAGCGGATGATAACTATGAATTTTGTTTCTCTCAAAATGTTTTGCATGACGGGTCTATGCTTTACATCTAATTCTGTCATTTTTTTCAGTGCGGAATAAATGTTGAGCTCAGTGTGGTTTGCTACAAATTGATTCCACAAGTTTTGCGTTTCTTTCAATTTGGAATAAAGGAATCCTGTTAGCAAAGATTCATAGAACTTTCATTACAGTTTAGAATTTTTTTTTTTTAAATTTAACAATCCATCAGCTTTGTAATGGATAAGTAAATTAACATCAGGCCGTTAATGAGTAGTGAATTACGAATTATGCAGTGTAAAATCTTGTCATTTCAATGTGCTAGCATATTCTTCCTTGGTATGTCGCAGTATTTAGGCCAAAAAGACATTGTTGAAAAGTTGATATCTGTATGTGTTGATAAAATGAAAGTGCAAAATTTGCATTAACTTATACAAATTGAGAGAAATTCAAAAATTTCTGAATGAACAGTAAATAAAAGCCAATCCTGTTTCATTTTAAATACGGATATGGAAAGTACGAATGAAATCGGGTGAACGCGAAACGACGTGTTCGAATTCAGCGTATGATATTTGCTCATCACCGTCGAGATCTGCTTCTTCAATTACCTGAAAAAAAAAAAGATCAAATTTGAGGAATGTTTTTAAAAAATTCAAAGGATGAAGATGTTTATTTTAGGATGCAAACATGAAATGTATGAATGTATAAATCCGTAGTTTTTTAAATTATTTTAACCTTCCTCAGTTTAGTTCTGAATCAAATCCAATTTCAATTTTAGGAGTTCAAGGAACTGGAAAACTAACTGCTTATTAAAAGCTGAAAATGGCAATTATTTTATCTTCTTTTTAGTCTACTAACTTTTTAGTAGTCTTACCTGTTCTGATTTAATCTGTCACTAATTAATTGACAATTAGCTGACAGTTGACAGGTATCGGAAAAAGTTATTAACTGGTATTGAAAAAGAAAAAAGATATTTTCTATCTTTTTCTTCAACTGATCGGATCGGCTGACTGAGGTGATATATATAATTATTGTATGTTATCAATTTCCATAGAAAAACTGTTATTCAAAAGTTGTGAAATAGATTATTTCTTACCCTTTCAATGATAAATTCAACCTCTTCATCCGACAATTCATCACGCGTTAAACATCGGATAATTTTGCTTAAATCATCATGACCAAGTTGATCATCACCATCAAAATCTATAAAATTTTTCAAAAAAATCCATAAATTTTCATATTTCATACATTTATTGTTTTATAATTTTTTAATTTTCCATAAATTCAATTGGAACAAATTTACTTTAAAAATTACATTTCAGTCGTATATCAATCAAATTTCAATGAAATAATAAATTATTGAAAATTAAATACCATATATTCGGAATGCGTATTTCAATTTGAGCTGTAATGGTGCCATTTCACTAAAAACAGAAAACATATCCAAGAAATCATCAAATGTCAGGTTTCCAGCACCATCATCAGAAAATACTTGACAAATTCGGCGCCGAAACGGATTTTCCTTAAAAAAAATTCAAAAATTATAATATTTAGGAAATTTTCAAAGATCTTTTTTTTCCAATCAATCTATAATTTTCATCAATTTTCAAAACATTTTCCATCAAAACAACAAATAAAAGAAATAATGATAATAATAGTAATAATAATAACTCGTAATTCAGGCATTTTCTCGATTTCTTCAAAACATAATGTTATAATAGCCGGACGATTTCCTTGCATATTTGTTGGTACTTTGATCGGATTAAGTGCATAAAATCGTTTATACAAACGTATGATATCTTTTCTTGTAAAAAATGTACAATCCTAAATTATTTTCATGAAAATTTTTCCATAATATAATAAATGAGATGGAACAAAATTGATTTGATACTTATCAATTAGTAAAATCTACTCATTTAACATTCATACTAATTAGTAGTCAAACAAAAGTCATACGAAACAATTTACTGTTGCGATAAGATGGATCACTTTGCTCTGATACTCATAAATGATAGTAAAGTAAGAAGTACAAAAATTTATCACCTTTCACTTATCAGTAATAATTGACTGTATTCTTTGTGACATTTTATTGATAATATGATAGTGCGAAAAATTGAGTATTATACTTAACTATAGTACTAATCTTACATTTACATTATTATATTGCTACAAAAATTATTTATCTAATATCTATTATAAATTATAATGTAATCAGTAAAACGTGTTTTGCTGATAACAAAGTGATATAATACTTGATGTAGTACTTTGCTTTCATACTTTGCCCTGATATGATGATAAGATGGACTAATTTGCTCTAATATCCATCAATAATTAGAAGAAATAGAAAAAAAATCATCGCTAGTCACTTATCAGTAACAATTTATCAATGATATGATAATGCAAAGAATTTTGATAATTAACCTGATATTCATCGATTTGATCTCGTGTAAAAATACCACCCTTAGAGAATAAGTTTAGATCAGTAAGTGAACTACCAGTATTGCCCATAATTCATCTGCAAATAAGCTTAATTAATTAATTAGTCAATTAATTAATTAGTTAATTGACTAATTGATTAATTAAGTAAACGTTTTGGAATAAACGATATTGGAATTTGTATAAGGTAGAGCTGAACTAGCTAGTCAATCTCAACTAGCTAACTCTTATAGCTAGCTGACTTGGAAAGTAACAGCAAATGTTAGTCCTCTTTCCCTATCACCTCAAACAATCACATTTACTACACTTTCCTTCCCTCATCCATCTATCCATTTTTTACATTCTATCTTACCATCTATTCGTCTATCTCTCCGTTCATTTCATTCATTCATTTAATCAATCATTCATTCATTCACTAATTCATTCACTCATTCCTTCCTTCCTTCATTCATTCATTCATTCACTCATTCCTTTATTTACTGATCACTAATTAATTAATTCATCCACTTATTGATTCATTGATTCATTCATTCATTAATTCATTCATTAACTTATTCATTCATTTATTCCGAACTCTAATAAATTCCTTCCTCCTCCATTTCATATCTTTATCTCTTTTTTTCTCTTTCTCATTCTATTCCATTATCATTTGTGATTGAATATTTATCAAATTTCATCTGTATTCTACTTCCAATCAAATTATCGAACGAAATCATATTTTCAATGGAAAGATATATTAATCTACCGAAAGAGAAAGAGAGTGAGTGAGTAGGTGATAATGTTTTGATTAAATGTAAATTAAATTTGCTCAAATTTCCCTATACTATATCAAAAAAAAAAAAAAAAAAATGATAAGGAATATGTCATTTATAAATGATTTTCTTATGCTAATTATCGGGACTGCACGTTCAAAAATTTGAAAGAAATTTAAATCCAAATTCAAAACTTTAATCATTAGGTTTATGTAATTTATTCAATTAGCATATTTTGAAATGTTTAGACAGAGTTGGAATGGTCATACCGTATAGTTGCGTTATCATGAGATTGGTTAGTTTAATTAAAGGTCAGAGGTAAATTATTATCGAACTAGTTCGTTTAACCAATGATTAAAGGTAAAGATTAACAGTAAATGTAATGATATTGCCAGAGTGATTCATCTAATTAAAGGTTATGGGTTGCAGTTTGCTTTAAAGTTGTTATTGATCCAAAAGTTTGTTATAAAATATAACAGTAAACTGTTCTCTTAGACTTTCATAAAAAATTTAACAAAATATCTTTTGATTCATTATCATATACTACATTTCTTAAATTATATCTAATATTAATTTCATTGATTAGTTCTGAATATTTGATATATTTACTATATTTTATTTAATATTCATTTCATACATTTTAAAAACTAAACTGTACAAAGTATTTTATCTTTTCCAAAATCTATTTATTTCTAGATTTCTCGTTATAACAAATATTAAGTTATCAGCAAATACAAATATTCCCTTGACAGTATCTAATGAATTCGATCTGAAGGCAACATTTGATTAATAACAAGAGCATTTTTCATCAATTACTGAATGAAATAACTCAAACAAAAAAAAAGAAATATTCATGAAATTTAATTTTCTTCTCCCTCATGAATTTCAGGTAAAATAATATTAGAAATGATAATCGAAGCATACATATGAACAATATTTAATTGATTTTAAATTCGAATTTCAGGGGCAAAATCACTAAATATATCATTTGTTTATAAATAATACCTATTTCGTAAAATTATAAATTGATCCAAAATTTGATTGAGGAATTGCAAAAATGAAAATCACAATAATATGAAAGTTAAAAACAAAGCAAATTAAATAATGCTAATAATATAAAACTTCAATTCCGTTACAAGTTATCAGTGCAAAAGTTTAATTAATTTACATTAATAAACACTGACATTACAGGGAGTTATAATCAAATTATACTTTTTAGATCTTTAGTTAGTTCGAAAATCTCTCCCTCAAAATCAAAGTCAAAAGGGAAATTCAAATTGACAATATATACGTCATTGAAATGTGACACGTCACGTTATTTAAATGTAACGTTACATTACTTAATATATGCTACTTAAATGTAACGTTAAATAGCGTCAAAATTTAAAAATCTCTTTGTTTTTGTTTTTTAAGAAATCTGAAAAATTTTGAAAATTTGAAAATTTTTAGATTTCTTTCTAATCTAGATTGCTTTTGATCACACATGCATCTTATTTTTTAAATAATTTAAAGCAAACAAACTGCTAATGATTGCAATTATTTGTTGATACTGTAAAACAACCAATAAAAATGTTAAATTAAATTCAAAATTTTGTAATATTTTCAAGGTATTAGATTGAAAAAAAAATTACGCAAAAATGATCATTTGACATGTGAAAGGAATATCTGTAGAAATGAATAAAATCCTCGGTGAAATATATTAATGGTTGGATGTAATTTGCGTCTACATGGATGATGCAGGCTTATATTACCTAAACTATGCTAAATCCATTGATATGTGAAAGCAATATTTAATTAATAAATGGTTTTAATTAATGAATACTAAACAAGTTGGTATTTATTAATTAAATCATTAATATTTTGTCAAATTTTTTTTTTTAAATTTCATTGAAGCGAATTCGCAATTTTC